GTCGAAACTGAGGCCTATTTTGAAGCAAAGTACAAATGGTATTGCAAAATTAGAGAAATAACGATGAGTGAAATTATTTATTACAAATTACTCAAATTATACAAACCACGTCCAAGGCCATAAACATCACCTCATGATCAGCACGTAAATCAAAGAAATGATTTGGTGCTTGAGAATGGACAATTGACAGTCAGAGCTCTTACTAGTCGCTTTCGACGAATATCAGAARGATCAGTAAAAACCATTTTGAAATAGCTTTTGCGCCTAAGAAAAGTAAAAGAACGATTGGTTCCAAAATATTCAATTTTTGAAAAACAGCATCGCGTTAATGTTTGTAAAATAATGTTTTCCGACTACCAGGGKGTTATGAATGAATACTATTACTGGCGMTGAGGCTTGRATATATGCKTACGACCTAAAAAAGGACGATCAATYGGACGAATATCGTGGCAAAAGCGAGCCGATGCCGAAAAAACCTATGACGAGGTCAAAATTAAATGCTATGTTGACAGTTTTTCTTCCGTCATCGAGATGTGGTGCACTTCGAATTCCTTTAGACTGGCCAAACTGTCAACAATTAATACTATTTGAGTATTATGCGTGGTATGCGTCGTTTGCGTGAAGCTGTTTTAAGAAAGAACCCGAAATTATGAACCGATAGCTCTCGGTTTTTGCACCACGACAATGCACCGTTGCATACTGCATCGATTCTTCGTGAGCTTTTCGTCAAATATTCGACCAATGACGTACAGCAACCACTGAATTCGACTGTTTAGCTCCATGTGACTTCTAGCTATTCAACAATATCAAACGATTGCTCCGGGAAAACCCTTTTTGTGTCAATTGAAGACATTAAACGTGAATCTCTACTCGCATTGAAGGCATTTCCGGAAATTGACTTTAATAACTGTTTCGAAGATTTGAAGAAACGTTAGCACAATTGTAATAGTGCCAAGGGAGATTATTTTGAGGGAGACTATATAAATTTTGAAGAAAAAGTTAATAATTCTTAAATTATGAAAAAGTCTTACTACTCGTAATAAATAGTACTTATCGTAAGATATCTGTAACTTTATAAACTTTAGTACTAACCCTACCACGGCTTTTATGTACTTAACCAGACCAACGTCTCGGTTTCCATAGTTCTGTTTTTCAGGTTAGTTGGTCTAAAAAATCTTCAATATTTTCTTCTTTTTTAGTAAGTGTACGATTATGTATTCGCGTAAAGACTACGTACATTAAGGAAAAGGTATGAATTAAATTCAAGAACCTCTAATTTTAATATATCGACAAAAAAAGAGTTAATTCTGGATCGAACAGATATTGGCAGCTTTATAATGTAATTGATAAAGTTCTTTTTTCAAGCGAAATTCTCGGCGAAAACATTATTCTGGGTAAATTTAGATATTTTGTTTCGGAAATTAACTTGTAAGTGAAGTTATAGTAAATTACTTGCAAAGATATGAACACATGAAATATTTACATGAAAAAAAAAATTAAAATTTTTTAAAATATATTATATGGAAGTCAACAATATGTAATATAACATAGTAAAAAAATGCCAATATGATAAAAAGTGTCAAGTCATGAAATATACATATATATTGTATTACGGTTTTTTTTTTTGAACTATTAATTTTTTCAGTCCCGTCACGAAATTTCCTTGGAAATACCCTAAAAAAAATTCCCTGAAAATTTTTAGCCCTTAATATTAATATTAAGAACTGGGCCAAGGCCTGTACAAATTTTCCATAGAAAATACACTACAATCGTGAGTTTTTATCTTTAAATTTCTACAGATCAGAGGTATTTTATGGCATCGYTTTGACTTTAGACGCATATTTCTCAGAATTAGTCACAAAAAACAAAAGTGCCCAGAGCAGCAAAATCGTAGCTCACACCGGCGAGATAGTACGGGCTTCTAAACCGGATTTTTACACGAATTTCGCATTTTTTTTGTAAATGACAAGAGCTACAAAAAAAAATATACATGACATATTTGTGGAGAATTTTATTTACTATAAAAAAGGTTCGATGCTAATGTTAATATTAAAGGCTAAAATTTTCTGGCAATTTTTTTAGGGTATTTCTAAGGAAATTTCGAGACAGGACTGAAAAAAATTAATAGCTAAAAAGAAACACCCTAATATATATATATTTATATAATATACTATGTTTCAATTTTTAAACAAACTAATGAAGCTGATAAGACTCACCTGTATACGCGCCTCAGTTAGACCAATTTTCATGGCTAATTCCTCTCTGTAAATAAAAAAAGCATAAAATGAAATTTAAGATAAAAGAGTATGGAATATAATTTAGTTTCGTCGCTATAAAAATTAAAAAATAATAAAATTGAATAATGAATAATGAAAGCAATAACAAGTACAACTAAYGACTTCATTATTAATTTAATTATCATATACTTTATACAGCTAATTGAATAATCGACTGTTGAGACCAATTAAACGATAGGAAATTAATTAAAATCCAAACGATGACTGCACTAAATGCTGGAAAAAATGCATTGCAAACACAGAACTTGAGTAAAATGGTTTAAAATGCAAAACGAGCAACTAATTGCGGGCCATAAAACGAAATAGGCGTGCTGAAGTTCAGCCAGAAATGCTAATATGGCGGCAACAACAACAATGGCGGATAGCACAGCGCAAAAATACAATGCAAGTGTTAACAGTAAACACTAATCAACTTATAAACACACAAAGCAAAACTTCAAAGTCGGCGAGTTTTTGCAAGTGTGTGCGTGTTTGTGTACGTRTGCAATGTAAGAATGTAGCGTATGAGTGAGGAAAAGGAATGGAAAATACATTTACAAAAAGAATTGTAACAGTTAGCGGGAAATAGCTAAAAAGTAGTTATAAGAATTTGTATTAAATGAAAGAAAAACACGTCTAAACGACGCTGACACATTTCCAATTSAAGCAAATATGCGACTTTGTGCGAAAAACTTGGCTTTTCTTGCTTTGAAATTTTTACGRCAGTGATAATGAGTAATTATGAAAACTTTTATGGTTTTAATATTTTCGATATTTGTCATTTATTAGCATATACGCGTTATATGCTTAAATGGTCTACGAAAATGGTTCTCTTCTGTGAGCGTGGAACTGGCGGATGCAGCACAAAACAAAAGCTTCATTCATAAGCACCAGGACGTGCGAGATTGCTTCACAGTCACAGCTAAATTAATATTTAAGGAATACCTGGCGTATACTACCGGTAAGGCAAACAAAATTTATAATAAATAATACTGAACGTAATATTGTATATTGGATACAAGCAAAAGATATAAAAGCGTTCCACGTGCATTGGCTTTCAGAAATTCGAGGAATAAATGCTTTGCGGTGTATATCAACCGATGCTGATGAAGTATTAGCCAGTACTTGAGCGATTATATCTATTATGAGCGAATAGAACAATATCGGCAAAGACAGGGGAGAGGAACAAGTACACAAAAATCTGGCAGCAGAGGTAGTATTCCTCATTCAATTGACGCTGGACCCAATGGCATAATAACATCCACTCGTGGATAGGCAGAGGACATGAGAACCTGGATTTCCATCTGAGTCAAATACTTAGTCGTCATGTSTGCTTTAGAAGCTAGCTTTACAGTTTCCACAATGACATTAGTCAGTGCCGTATTCAGAGGTGGAAAATGCGGGAAAAATTAGTAAGTGGAAAAATAAGGAAAMAGYGGGAAAAGCAACGCCAGCATGATGCTTCAGAAATAATCGATCGATCAGGCAAAGACATTAAATATGATATACSCTGCTTGCAATGTTCCGCAATCGAAGACAGAAAGCTGAGGAACATTTTCGATTAATTTATTCAGACACGAAAAAATGACGGCAGAACTGAAAGTTGACGAAGAAACAGCCAGGGATCTGCGGCCGACAAACAAAACTCGAAAATTTCTGCATGAGAACTTGCCAAGAATACTACAGGGTCTCTATGTACATTCCTTTGTTGGATACAATCGGCGAAGAATTGAAGACGCGTTTTTCTAGAAAAGTATTGAATAGATTTCCACAGAGTTTACTGCTTCCGGAAAAAGTATGTGCTTTGAAAACCAAAGAAATGGAAAATCTTGTTGACTGCTTGATAGATAAATTCAAAGGCCTTTTGGATAATAACAACGTCGTTGGACATTTGAAGTTCAAAGGTGAAGTTGAGCACTGGCAGTGCCGAATGCGAGCTCTGTGCGCTCTTTATTTAAAAGTCCTTAACTACGCCTCACCAACCTGTCAGCATATATGTACATACATCTTCTATGCGAATATAAAGCACTATATAGAAAAATAATCGTAACTATCGTTCGAGGATTTCTTGACGACGTCTAGAGGTTGCATTGATAAAACTTATCAACTGATGMACTTCAGCAGAAGCACGTGGTAGTTCAGAGAGGACACAATCGAGTGAGTGAAATTTAGTACCGGTGGTTCYTACCTTGCCTTTATAAGCTTTCATATATAATAACCCGACATTAAAGAAAATTTTATATCGCCATCAAATATCAAATACAATTTTTACAATAACTCATTAAATTCCACAACACCTCTAGAATATTGTCCTAAATTTTAATATAAATAGTTGCGGAGTTACAGCTTTAAGAACTTGTGCGCTCGAGGCTAACTAGGTTAAATGCACCGTCTATAAAGGCGTTTTTCTCGAAAYTGAGGTTTTGAAGTTGGTTGCCAAGATTTCTCAATAACTAATCATCCGATCTTCGTAAAAATGTACACAGGTCTTTAGAGACAGCTTCTTTGTCCAAGTTCTAATATTCTAATTATTTTAACTAAACCACGTATTTTTTCACATCCTGCCAAAGCAGGCGCATCTTTTTTCCGAGGGGTCACCGGAAGTGCCGTCGCAACAGCCGAGTTTAAAATATTATTTTCAAAGAAATTTATAACTTCTTTGTTAATATGTGTATGTTTGCAACAGCGAAAATTCCAATAAAATATTTTATTTTTTATATAGAAAAAATTTTTGAAAAAATTATTTTTCAGCCGAGGAAACCCCTTAATGCAKCTTTCACAAAAATATATTTACCCAAACCCAAAAGCCAAAATGATTTTTATGGCTTTTTCAAATATTTGTTTGGCTTATGTTAAAAAAATGTCTCCTGGGCTAATTTAAAATAGCCATTAGTGAGACTAATGACACAATATTTCAGACCCACCCAAAGCGTAATTGCGAAGCAAATTTGCATAATTAACGCAAAATTGCGCACACATTTTTTTCAAATTGCATAAATGTGCGTTGACGTCCCGGCAAGCAACGGCAGAGTGATTAATTTGCTGACCCATTGACAAATTGCGTGCAATCAGTGCAAAATTGATTAGCGACAAAACCGAAAGCAAAAAAAAAAATTTTAATAAAATAAACGATCATTAAAAAGCAACAAAAAGCGKTGAAAGAACATGTACGCCTCGCTGAAAGTAAGTGTGCAAGGTAGTGAAAATGGCAAATTGCCGAAAGCATCAATAAAAAGTGGGCGTAAGAGAAGCATTTGCAGCGCCTGCTGCTGCGCGTCATTTATGTGCCGCAGCATAAGCGTAAACACTCTCAAGTGTGGCAAGTTGTGAGTTGGCTGGTGTGACCGCCGACAGTGTTGGTCAAAAAATTTATTAACGACACTGGCAAACACCTGCTAATGATCTCAACGAGTATGGAGAAAAATTGCACAGTAATAACAAGCAACAGCAAACACACAACAACAGCCGCTGCGCGACGCACACAAGCGCTTTATTTACATATGCGCGCACGTTTGTATGCGTTCACTCGCCAGTAAGTGAATTACGCGCTGAGGCATTGCGTCCCAACACCGCTCAAACTGAGCAATGCAAAAGCCAACGCGCCGCCAAATTATTGCATTCATCAACTGCCATCAAATCTGAAGCGCGCCGCTTACCGCACCGCGACCACATGCGCGCTCACTTACGCGTTGCCGCCGCCGCCGCCGTCGCCGTACAACCGGATCTGACGAAATTATAATCAATTAATGTTCGCGCGAGCGCATAAAATTGCACACTTCTTGCCACGCTCATACCACATGTACCTGTGGCCTTAGCCGGCGGCGGCAACATAGCAGCGCAACGCAACGCAACGCCGTCAAACGCACACACACATAACAATTGCATAGCGCAAGCATGCGAACTGGCGGCCACAGACAGGGCGCACTGAAAGTCGCCATTATCCTTTGGTTACGCGACTGACTGTGGCGTTTTAAAGCGCTGAAACAACAGTTAATGCGTCAATTTGCCGGTTGCACGGTACAGCGCATAAATGCCTTGTAGCCGCGCAACAAAAGTTGCCGCCGCCGCTGCAGTACTTGTTGTCGTCGCCACCACSACGTTCGCCATCAGTCGGTGTAATTTTGAAATTTAATTAAAATAAATTCAATTACAGMAAACATGAAAATCCATTAAGCAAATTATCGTCATTACCAGCATTATGGGTGTAGTGTGTAGTTGTTGTCGTTGTTGTTACATGTTTTATCGTGGCGTTGGCAAAAACTGGCTTCTGGCCCAAAACGGCCTACGATCACCTTTTAATAGCATCGTTTATTGTGTACTTACGCGTACACTTCGCCATCGTTTTGGCTCTTAGCGTTTGGGCGCATGTGTGTGGCATACAACATTGTTGTGCAACTCGWTGTAAAATGTTCCCAAATGTGTGGTGTTTATATAACACATTAAAACAAATTGATTTTTAACATGTTTCGCCTTTAAAAATTATGCATTTTTACTCATTACAAGCTCAGTGATTGGGTTGAGGCATATGAAGAGCGCATATGCATTTCTCTTYTAGAAGCAGGAAAGTCCAACAAAAGTGCAGAAGGCAAGTACGCAATTAAGGCATTRTCAGAGTGTGTAGAAGACATTTTAAATAGTTTGTTTGTTTTAAATAGCTTGCTTGAGTAAAAACACTGAAAACCCTCAACTTAACTAAACCGTCTTATACGGTCTTGGAAAGCCTTGAACGTGTAAACTTTCCTTCACCCCTAAGGAAACCTTGAAATGGATCACCCTTAAGTAATGACTTGTATTTACACCGTTATCTCGTAATGCTAGAGCTCTCCTGAAGCAAATGTTTCCAGATTAGAAGACGTAATGCCATTATTTCTAATATTTTTAAATAAAAACAAATACTGATACTACTACTTCKTAGAAGCTGATTCAATAAAAGTCTAAGCAATTAGATCAGGCAAGAGTGGCTATGGCGCTCAGAACAATACAAGG